GAGAAAGTAGGTAGAAAACCTGCCGCACCACGAGCAGCTGTACGATCAAGAAGCTCTCGAGCAAATGCTAAACATCCAAACTCATCGCTATTGCTTGTGGCTGCGGCAAACGGAACGGATGATCCTTCGATGCCTCTCTTCCATCATCAGACACAAAATCAACAAACGTCCCCACATGGTCAACAGCAGCAAACAGGTCGCAAGTCCATCACGTCGATCTCACATGCAAATAGTGCCCCGTATGCTAATCGTATCAGCGCACGTGATCAAGGTTTGCCGGTAAAAACAGCTCCCGTGGAACTTCGAACTAAACTAATCGATTTTGGTCTTGCAATCGAACTTCGTAAAAACGAAGAAGTTTTAGCAGAACCTTGTGGTACTCCCCTATATATGGCTCCGGAAGTACTAACCGGGAAGTCCTACACAAGACAGTGTGACGTTTGGAGCCTGGGTATACTAATGTATCAACTACTGGCCAATAAAGTTCCCTATACTGCACAAAATGAAGAGCAGTTGTTGGAACAGTTATTAGGATTTGATGCTGATGCTACTATTCACGCACTGGACTTCGTATCTATCCCGGCTCAAGAATGTTTAATGCGAGTGCTCCATCCCGATCCTGCCTATAGGTATTCTGCCTCCGAATTGTTACTTGATCCGTGGATAATGACTTATTCGAGAATTCAAGATGATTTTTATGACGTTCCTGATTTCGTTCGTCGTCCCTCTCAAGATGGACAAACTGAGAACTCCGGGAGAATCAGCACCGGACATGGTCATTCTGATAGTTTGCTCAAAAGTAGACCGCCTTCGGTCGGTATTTCGCAATCATTCAGTACTTATTCTGCAACGAATGTGCTGGAACTCATGAAACAGTATCACAAAGAACTGACGGGAAATAGACAAGATACAAGTGAGAAATTGAACACCAGTGATACAGCATGATGTGAGTTTACAGTTTTTTTACATATGGCAAAAAGAGCTTTTGTAATGACATGATCCAGAAGGAACTCACTGTTCTGATCAAATCTGAAGCGCCGATCAAAGTACACTTTATCGGGATATGCAGCCCTGAACTTGTGGTTCAGAGAGCTAACTGGCACAAAAACACTAACATCGCCCAAAACAACCATACTTAGATAATTTTTTTCCTCGATTCATTTGCGCGCGGCCAATGATCAAAATATAGAATTTGTGAATAATGTCTTTGTATTTACCGGGTCTTGTCTGATTACAGAGAATCAGGCCATCAATCTCACTGCACATGATCCTAATGCTGGCCACTACTACCTGTTGAGTTTTGCGTATATATA